AAATTAGTTTTCCTAATACTTCATATTATGATGTTTTTAATCGTTTATGATTTTCGTTTTATTTATATATTAAGATATTTTTCTTCATGCTACGTTTAGTTCAATTAATTTTCACAATTTTATATATATTAGTTATTAAAATAAAATTTATTAACTATAATAATTTATTTTCCGTGCAACGCATGAGCATAAGTCTAGTTGTTATAAAAGGGAAGAGTATTATATATTGAGTAATGGAGAGAATACGAAAACAAAATTTAATGAAAGACACTTCATTACGACAACTCGAAAGAGCATGGATAATATGAAATTAAAAAATTTTAACAATCTAATCATTAAATTAAAAGTTCTTAATATAAATATTAAATATACAATTTTTATAAATTTAATTTCTTTTATTTTATTTTATTAATTTAAATTAATGAATAATTATAAAATTATTTTATATATTAATTTAAATTCATATAATTCAGTATCATATGATATTCAAATTATTTAAAAATTAATAAACTTAATTAATACATTAAATTTTTTTAATTCAATGACTAGATAGCTAAAATTTGATATAAAATATAAATTATTAAATAGAGTACATTTATCAATACTTATTTTTTTAGAGTAAATGAATTCCTCTTTCTATATATATATAAAAAAGTAAGTTACACTAATAATACTCAGTTTTTATGAAATTGTACAAATGTTGCATACTTTTTCTATTTCTATAATAATCTATTTTAATTTTTTTGAAAAATATTACACTATCATTCTATATAAATTACTTTAATCCCTCTTAACTATTTGAAAAATATTACAGCATCACTCCTATCATTTTTATTTTTTATTTTTCAAGTATATATCCTCACAAGAACGAAGCAGATAAAGTGAATTAATGTAACTTCGTCGGCTTAACCAACCAACCATAGATTGGTCCAAAAGTGAGTCAACTAAGCTTGTTCGATATATACGATCATGGGTTGATTGAGTATATTACTCATATAACGTATGGATCATATATTGCGCGAAATTAAAATATCTTGCACTCCACTTTCAAAGTGTTATACCAATTTTTAACTTATTCTTTTTTAGTAAATTAAGATATCACTTAGTAAGAATCAAAAACTAATTTTTTTATATATTAAGATCTATTAAAGATGACTAATTTCTAGCTTACACGTAGGAGTTAAAGCACTCCCGATATATGTTTTAATAAAAATGATATTTGTTAATTTGTATTAAGAAAACTACAATAATTTTGTATTATTTTCATTATTTTCCAGTTAACTCCTTATTGCATTGAGGAAACTTCACATTAAAAATCATCTATTATTTTGTGAGGATAATTAAACTAGATAAAAGTCGGTGTATACTGATCGTAGTGTAGGTTTTCTAACACTTAAATTTGAAATAACATTTTTTAATTAAACTCAAAATTATAAACTATAAAATTAAAATATACTTTTTTATTCATGTAAAGTTAACGAGATTTGATTTTAGTCCCAATGTATTTGTTTTAACACTTCTAAACTTTTTTTTTATAAATTTTTAAAATAAATATTATTTATCGACTTTAAAATGAACATTAGAAACAAAAATAATAACATTGAGTAAAAAATAACATTTTTCAAAATTTGAAAGAAAAATAAAACTTCATAAAATTAAAATCAAAATTCGCTCATTTTACATAAATTTAAAATATATGAAAGGAATTAATTTTTTACTTCAAGAAATAAATGTTTGACAATATATAATGGTAAAGTTTAAATTTGGTGGAGTTTGGAGATAATGAGCGTCATAAAGTCTCATGAAGTCTGATACCCTTGATGAGATTCATATGTTTATAAATCAATTTTCGACTTTTTTACTTTAAACATATAAAACTTTGATTGTATTTCAACTTCTAAGTTAAGATAAATTTTTTTTTGAATAAATTAGTAAAGATAAAAAAATAGTTAAAAGATTATAACCATAAATTAGTTTAATCAAACAAATTTATTTTAATTAAATTAATTAATTAATAAATAAAAACTTATAAACTTTTCAAATATCATTTCAAACGCACATTGTAAATGGTGGAAAGAAACATGTTGAAAATGGGAAGAATAGTTTCATTTAGCCCCTCTTTGTTTCAAGGGATTTACTATTCACGACGAACGAAAGGTGAAGAAAGTTGACGTTTGTTTCCGCTGATTTGCACCGAAAGAAAAACGAAGAAAAGCGGGAGAATCCACGTGGCTGTTTCTCGCGAAGTTGTGAAGAAAAAGAGATGAAAGCCACGTAAAAAATGAGAAAACTCGATAATACCCCTGCCCAAAAGCTGAAAAGAGATGAAAAACTGAACCCCAGTGAGCATAATCGATTATGCATGACACATAATCGATTATGGGCTGAGGCATAATCGATTATGCCAGCCCATAATTGATTATGCCATACATAATCGATTATGGTGGCATATTTTTGCTTCCAGGCGTGCCTGGAACGGGCTGTTCCAAAATTAGAACGGCCCGTTCCAAACTACTAAAACAAGGATAATTTAGTAGCCTAGAACGGGCCATTCCAAAACTGGAACGGGCAGTTCCAAAACTGGAACGGGCCATTCCAAACTAGTAAATTGGCTTAAAAATCCTAGTTGAGAACGGGCCGTTCCAAATTGGCTGTTATGAGTAAAAATGCAACCCCAAATTTGTAATGTTAAAAATTTCTTAATTTTTTAATTGGTAAAAATTAACTTGTACAATTAATAAATGTATCTTCATTTCATTTTAATTTATGTCAATGATTTATCAATTTTTTTTAATTTATTAATTAACTTTCAAAAAATTTATTGTACATTTTTTTTATATTAAGAAAATTCTATTATTCAAATATTGACATCAAAAAGTGGAAATATAAAAGAAATAAAGTAATACATGTTTATAAAATTAAAATAATAACACTTTCATAAACATTAATAAAATAATGTTAGAAAATATAATTATCATAATATATTTTGTTATTATTATTTATTATTATAAATATTATTATTATTATCATTATTATTAATATTATTATTATTTATTATAATTAGTATCATTATTATTTATTATGATTCTTATTATTTTTCTAATATTTATTATTATTATTATTATTATCATTATTTATTATTTTTTTAATTAATTATACCTATTAATATAATTTAATTGTAATTATTATTATTTACAATAAATAATATTCTACTCATTTTTAATCCAAGGGTAAAAGTGTAAATTACATATTCATCTATTAAATTTTTAATTTTTATCTATCACATCAATCAATTTCTACACAAATTCTTACAAACTTTTCACTCACTTTTCACTATCTTTCCCTTAATCCAAACAACCTCACTTTCCACTCTCTTTCTCTTCAAATCTTTCCTTTTCCACTCTCCCAAATCCATCCTTCAATCCAAACACAACCTTAGCCCCTGTTTGTTTCAGGGAATTTACTGTTCACGACGAACGAAAGATGAAGAAAGTTGACGTTTGTTTCTGCTAATTTGCACCGAAAGAAAAGCGAAGAAAAGCGGGAGAACCCGCGTGGTCGGTCCTCGTGAAGTTGTGAATAAAAGAGATGAAAGTCACGTAAGAAATGAGAAAACTCGATAATACCCCTGCCCAAAAGCCGAAAAGAGGTGAAAAACTGAACCTCCAGCGAGCATAATCGATTATGCATGGCACATAATCAATTATGGTGGCATATTTTTGCTTCCAAGCGTGCCTAGAATGGGCCATTCCAAAATTGGAATGGCCCGTTCCAAAATTGGAATGGCCCGTTCCAAAATTGGAATGGCCCGTTCCAAACTACTAACACAAGGGTAATTTAGTAGCCTAGAACAGGCTGTTCTCAAATTGGAACAGGCCGTTCCAAACTAGTAAATTGGCTTAAAAACCCTAGTTGAGAACGGGTCATTCCAAATTGGCTGTTATGGGTAAAAATGCAACTCCAAATTTGTAATTTTAAATTTTTTTTTAATTGGTAAAAATTAACTTGTACAGTTAACAAATGTATCTTCATTTCATTTTAATTTATGCAATGATTTATCAATTTTTTTAATTTATTAATTAACTTTCAAAAAATTTATTGTACATTTTTTTATATTAAGAAAATTCTATTATTTAAATATTGACTTCAAAAAGTGGAAATATAAAAAAAATAAAGTAATACATGTTTATAAATTTAAAATAATAACACTTTCATAAACATTAATAAAATAATGTTAAAAAATATAATTATCATAATATATTTTGTTATTATTATTTATTATTATAAATATTATTATTATTATCATTATTATTAATATTATTATTATTTATTATATTTAATATCATTATTATTTATTATGATTCTTATTATTTTTTTAATATTTATTATTATTATTTATTATTTTTTTAATAAATTATACCTATTAATATAATTTTATTGTAATTATTATTATTTACAATAAATAATATTCTACTCATTTTTAATCCAAAAGTAAAATTGTAAATTACATATTCATCTATTAAATTTTTTATTTTTATTTATCACATTAATTAATTTCTACACAAATTTTCACAAACTTTCCACTCACTTTTTACTATCTTTCTCTTAATTCAAACAACCTCACTTTTCATTATCTATCTCTTCAAATCCTTACTTTTCTACTCGTTCAAATCCATGCTTCAATTCAAACACATTTAAGTGGTAAATGTCCTATAGTCCCATGGAAGGAAATTGTCGGTTGTTTTGTTCCTTATGATTGGTAATACTGCAGAGTGCAGAGTGCAAATCAGAGATTTACATGTTTTTCCCCTCATATGACTTCAGTCAGGGCCTCAGGCACATGGATCATGATTTTGTCAGACATGACCTCACTCTCATAATTTGCAACTACCTGCGCTAAGTGGGCCATATATTCACCTTTTTCAAAAATCACACATTATATAAGTCCCTTCCTCATTCCTCTACATGCATATCAAGTTTATATCTGCATATATATATATATATATATATATATAGTGCAGAGTATTAGTCCCAGCTTTGTTATTAATTAATTGTGATCTCTAGTGTGACCATGGCCAGTTGTATGGTTTTTGCATGTTACAATATTGTTATAGGAATAGTGGTGGCGCTAGGGAGTTTAACAGGTGCCGAGGCAAAACGTGCGTTCTTTGTGTTTGGGGATTCGCTTGTGGATAATGGCAACAACAACTTTCTGGCCACTTCAGCTCGAGCAGATTCTCCTCCTTATGGCATTGATTACCCATCTGGCAGACCCACTGGCCGTTTCTCTAATGGCTACAACATTCCTGACTTCATCAGTTCTGTTAATTAACTAACATTCATTCATATTTATGTCACATGCATCATCTCATTGATTATCATATTTATGTCCTATATATTGTGTAGGTCAACAACTTGGCGCCGAATCCACATTGCCTTATCTAAGTCCTGAGCTCAACGGGGAAAGATTGCTTGTTGGTGCCAACTTTGCTTCTGCTGGTATTGGAATTCTCAATGACACTGGAATCCAATTCGTAAGTGACATTAATCAATCTAACTAACTGACATTTATATAATACGTCACACATGTTCATTAATAATATATATATTAATATCGTCACTATGCACTTTTTTAGTTTTATTATATGTAGAGTCGAGTGTATAATATATTTTGTTGCAATCACAGGTAAACATAATCAGAATATACAGACAATTGGAATACTTCGAAGAATACCAGCAGAGAGTGAGTGCTCTGATAGGAGCTGAGGCGACTGAGCGCTTAGTAAATGGAGCATTAGTCCTAATCACTCTTGGAGGCAATGATTTTGTGAATAATTATTACTTGGTGCCTTTCTCTGCAAGATCCCGCCAATACAACTTACCAGATTATGTCAAGTATCTTATCTCTGAGTATAAGAAGATTCTGAGGGTAACTAATTCCATCAATTGTCTTTACTAGGTTAATTATAATAAAAATAAAAAAGTGTGATGACATGGGGTGTAAAATAATGTGATTATATATTTCAGAGGCTATACGATATTGGAGCACGTAGGGTTCTGGTGACGGGAACAGGCCCATTGGGTTGTGTTCCGGCGGAATTGGCCCAGAGAGGCAGAAATGGTGAATGTTCAGCTGAGTTGCAGCGTGCTGCGTCATTGTTCAACCCTCAACTTGTTCAGCTAATCAGCCAACTCAATAGCGAAATTGATTCCAATGTCTTCATTGGAGTCAACACGCAACTCATGCACACTGACTTCGTCACTAACCCTCAAGCATATGGTAAATTAAGTTACTTGCCAATTATTATGCTGCTACAATTATTAATATATTATACAGACATGACATGACCGTTGACCACGTACTTTTCATTAATTATTCAGCAGCAGAATAGGTATGCATGCCGTCCAAAGAAAATGTGGAGGGACAAAATTTTAAAATTCCTAAAAATGTGTTTTATTATTTATTCATTAATATTTTTTTTGTTATATAAGTTCTTGTATTTTAAATTCCTAAAAATGTATTTTCATAAGAGCCATGAATTATTTCATCCCTCACTTTTTAATATCCCAAGTTTTATAAAGATCTAAAACACATTTTTTCTTTTTAAAATTTAAACTAAAAAGAAAATAAAAAAAAGTATTTTTACATTATTATTATTCGGATTTTCTTAATTGTCTCTCTTTTTCTACAAGAGTCACGCATCTCACGTACAGTACACAAAAGGGGCTATTTAATAGGGATAAAGTTAATTAATTTAGGTAGAAGACACTTAATAGAGGCATGGCCCATGCATCAATCATATGGTGGGGAAGAAGATATCCTTTTTCTTTATTTTTCTTTGTTAGGATTTCAATAAATGTATAGAATTAATAGGGTCTCAGCTTTCAAACGATAGACCTGATTTTTTTTTTTTGTTGGAGGTGTGGGTACTTGTTTTCGCGACTAAATAAGATAGATAGCTAGGAAACTAATATTTCAAAAAAGATCAGCAATGTGGTATATAAGGATTCCTTAAAAGGTGGTATTGTGTCTACATGTGGCATTAAAGATTTTATGCTCTATAGTATATACTATATAGTAAAGGTGGTGGTTGAACATGCAGGATTTATTACAGCAAAAGTAGCATGCTGCGGTCAAGGACCCTATAACGGTCTTGGACTGTGCACCGTGGCATCCAACTTGTGCCCTAACCGTGACATCTATGCGTTTTGGGATGCTTTTCATCCTTCAGAAAGGGCTAACAGCTTCATCGCTCGAAAGATATTTTCAGGTACCACAGAGTATATGTATCCGATGAATCTCAGCACCATTTTGGCTTTGGATTCCAAGAACTAGATAGATAATCAAGAATTAAATATCATTTTAGTATCGCGTCGTCTCTTAATTTTGTTTCTAGCAAAAAGTCTACATGGTTAATTTGTGATATATATATATGTGTTGAAATTTGGTGTGTCATGTAAAGCAATCTCCAAGTGATATAGTGTGTCACTGAGTAGTATTTTGAAATGTGGTGATGGATGGATGATGGTCTTCCTTCTCATATTTCTCTTGGGCAGTACAAAAGAAATACTGCATATATAATAATTGAGTGTTTTTTATTTTAATTTTTTATCTCCAATCATTTCTTTTTTCATTCCTTTTAGTTATCGTACCCTCTTGTGTGAATGGTGATTATTACATTCCATGTGTTTGGTTCGGAGTTCAAGGCCCACGACGTGCCTCAAAAACGTTATCAAAATTTAAGTTTTATGGACTAGCTTTCGCCTTAAATGTCTGAAGGGGACGTAATTGCTGGGAACAAAAACTTTTTCTTTACTAACAACAAGGTGGAGAGAACATAATATAAAATTAAACATTAAAAAAAAAAAAAAAGAGGTGGGGCGAGGGGCGGAGGCGGATATAGAAATATCATAAAAATTAATTTATTGTGATTCGAGTTTTATGTCAATGTCCATGGCAGTGTTAGGATGATTCGTAGTTGTGATTCGACTTTAATTTCAATGTCCAAGGCAGTGTTAGAACGATTAGTAGTCTGTTGTCGGCTGAACAGAAATTTGCTCGGATATACACAATTAATATCTATTCAAATATATGTTAAATGGATACTTGAAAATTTTATTAATTTCAGCAGATATCTATATATCATAGACATCTATATATTCTATTGAGTTTTTTTTATTTATAAATAAATTAATATATATAGAGAGAGGAAGGCAAAATCCACTTACTTAAAAATAAATTTATCTAAACTTAATTTACTTTACCAAATAATTTATATTCTGCATAAAAATTTAACAATTCAATCATTACATAATTATTAATGAATAAATAAAGTTTGTAAATTTTCATTAAAAATATGAAAATTATTTGATATTTATTTTATTAATTTAAATTGACAAATAATTATAATAACTTAATTTGAATTATTGAAATGGTATATTAAATGGTTTTCAATTTTTTTTAAATTATAGTCTTAAATTATGCATTAAATTTTTTTGATTCAATAATTAAATCGTTAAAATTTAATGTATAACATAATTTATTAATTGAAGTAAGTTTAGGTAGACTTATTTTTTAAAATAAGTGGATCTCTCCTCATGTGTGTGTGTGTATATATATATATATATAGAGAGAGAGAGAGAGGATTCAAATGTCATCAATGTAATTTTTATCAACTATTATACCGCTCAATGACTTTCAATTAAATGTAATTTTTGTATTTAATCATTGAATTGTAATTTCATATCACCTAGTATATAAAATATGCAAAATTTAAAAAATATTGAATACTATTTGGTACCTTATTTTTTTTTATTCAGGTTGACGAATAATTATCAAAATATTTTATATGTTGATTTGAATTAATGAAATAAAATATCACATACTTTTCAAAAAATTTATTATTAAAAAAATGATTTATTTATTTATTAAGAACTCAATAGTAGTGGACTTACTTTTTGAGTACTTTCAATTAAAATGTTTGGTAGCTATTTATTTTTCTTTTTGAGAAATATAATTTCTTGATAAATATTTCTATTTCAATTTCTCAGAAAAATATTTTTATGGGAGTAGAAATTGAACTTTCATGTTAAGAGAAAATTTTTATGTATATAAAAAATATCACAATATCCATTTTAAAAAAATATCTTTCTTTCTCTCCTCCCATTTCTCTTGTTGCCTTTCTTTTCAACTCTGTCTCCTTCTATTTTTCTCTGAATCTTCTGGCAAGGTAGACAAGCAGATAGAACAACCATACAGGGGGCGAGGGAAGGAGATATCTCTTCGGGATCGGCCTAGTCGGGGTCCAAAATACACTCAATACACTCCACTCAACACTAGTCGTTCGGTAGTACTTGAACAAGCTTTGGCTTCCGAAGTGTTAACAATTCCGAAGAGAGCATCCACTCCACCACGGGCTGATACTAGTAAATCTTGCCGATATCATCGTAATCGGGGACACTCAACTGATGAATGTGCGGCCCTTAAAGACAAAATTGAAGATTTGATTAAGCAGGGTAAGTTGCATAACTTTGTGGACAGGTCAGGTTCGTCCCAAACTCGCACATATCAACCCAAATATCAAGATCGGTACAGGCAAGACCGTTCCGATAAAACCTCTGATAGAGCTCGGCGTGAAAGAAGTAGATCACGCGAACGAAAAGATGACTCGGCACCTTCGCATAGGAGAGTCATTAATACTATTGCAGGGGGATTTGCGGGTGGAGGCACAACTTCTTCGGCTCAGAAGAGGCATCTTCGAGCCATCTGATCGGTAAATTCCATTCATGGACAGCCTTCTCGGCGGTTACCAACAATAACATTCACCGATGCTGACTTCAAAGGCATTGATCCAGAGCAGGACGATCCGATGGTTATTAGTGTAGAAATACACAATTGCATCGTCAAGAAAACATTGATCGACCAGGGCAGTTCGGCGGATATATTATATTGGAACACATTCAAGCAGTTGGGTATTTCTGAAAAAGAATTGCTCCCTTATGATGATCCGTTGGTCGGCTTTGCAGGAGAAAGAGTCAGTACCAGGGGATATATAAAACTTTTCACACGATTTTGTTTTGATGAAAAGGAAAGTAGAGAGGTTCAAGTGAAGTATATTGTGGTTGATGCTAACACTTCGTATAATATTCTCCTCGGCAGACCATCTTTAAATGCATTAGGGGCCATTGTCTCAACGCCACATTTGGCAATGAAGTTTCCGTCTGACAAAGGAAATGTAATTACAATTCATGCCGATCAAAAGGCTGCTAGGGAGTGTTATTATGCTAGTCTACGTGTCGAACAGATGGAAGAAAGGAAATCGAAATCAAAAAGAACACACGACGTGAATGTTTCGGCATTAGTAGAGCAGCATGTATGGGATCTTGATCCAAGAATGAACAACGAAGAGCGTGTGGAGCCAGTAGAGTCAAAAGTACATTTCCAGATAGGTGCATATCCTGACCAGGTTACGTACATCGGTGCCGATATGAATGAGGAACACTGTTCGGCCCTATGTAGGGTTATAATGGAAAATAAAGATCTTTTCGCATGGACGCCTTCCGACATGCCTGGAGTGGATCCCAAGGTCATGTGTCATAAGTTATC